GTGAACTGGTTCTGTTGCCTGTGAACTGGTTCTGTTGTGTGTGAACTGGTTCTGTTGCCTGTGAACTGGTTCTGTTGTGTGTGTACTGGTTCTGTTGCCTGTGAACTGGTTCTGTTGCGTGTGAACTGGTTCTGTTGCGTGTGAACTGGTTCTGTTGTGTGTGAACTGGTTGTGTTGTGTGTGAACTGGTTCTGTTGTGTGTGAACTGGTTCTGTTGTGTGTGTACTGGTTCTGTTGCGTGTGAACTGGTTCTGTTGCGTGTGAACTGGTTCTGTTGCGTGTGAACTGGTTGTGTTGTGTGTGAACTGGTTCTGTTGTGTGTGAACTGGTTCTGTTTCGTGTGAACTGGTTCTGTTTCGTGTGAACTGGGACAGTTCTATCAGCATGTGGTTTTAGGATCAGCACTTTTCTGTTGAATGTTGGCGAGCGTCTGTTCGGCCGCCGCCCTCTTTCACAACAGCCCCGGTCCTCGGAGAGCAGCTCGCTCTGATCTCATTCAGCCCGAGGCGAGCAGGAGAAACCAAACAGCTGCTCGGGGCCCCTCACACTTCAGGGGCCCCTGTGTCCTGTCAGAGTCCTCAGTCTTTAAAGAGCCACGCCCTCAAACTTCAGAGTTGATGACAGATTCTGTTTTCTCTGATCGATGAAAAAGCTGCAGCAGAGAAACGTCTGGAAGTGGATTTAAAACTCAGAGATATGCAGAGACAGATTCCCTCCTTCAAAGTAAACCCTGCAGGCAGATCTCTGCTGCTGCACTCAAACTCACAGGAACATTTCTGTGAAACACATCATACCAGGATGCTCAACTTCCATATGATTCTAGGAAAAATCAAACCACATTGATACCACAGAAACAAAATCAGAAGTCCCACATGTTGAGAAATGTCTTGATTTAAAAAACAAACCAAACCGTGATGAACAGCTCACAGTGTTCAGGAGCTTTTGATGGATTCCTTCCACTTTTCCGAGCAGGCGTTCATGTGCGTTGTCCAACTCGGATACTCGTTTTTCCGATGTGTCCGATACCACATGAATGTAGCATGAACCAGAAAAAGAATTGAGATCTTCAGAGAGAGAGAGAGAGAGAGAGGGAGAGAGAAGAGAGAGAGAGAGGGAGAGAGCGAGAGAGAGAGAGGGAGAGAGAGAGAGACAGAGAGAGAGAGCGAGGAGAGAGAGAGAGAGAGAGAGGGAGAGAGAGAGACAGAGAGAGAGAGAGAGAGAGAGGGAGGGAGAGAGAGAGGGAGAGAGAGAGAGAGACAGAGAGAGAGGGAGAGAGAGAGACAGAGAGAGAGAGAGAGAGAGGAGAGAGAGAGAGAGACAGAGAGAGAGAGGGCGAGAGAGAGACAGAGAGAGAGAGAGAGAGAGACAGAGAGAGAGAGACAGAGAGAGAGAGGGAGAGAGAGAGACAGAGAGAGGAGAGAGAGAGGGAGAGAGAGAGACAGAGAGAGAGAGAGAGAGAGAGAGAGAGGGAGAGAGAGAGAGACAGAGAGAGAGACAGAGACAGAGAGAGAAGAGACAGAGAGAAGAGAGAGAGAGAGAGACGAGAGAGAGAGACAGAGAGAGAGAGAGACAGAGAGAGAGACAGAGAGAGAGAGAGAGAGAGAGAGAGAGAGAGAGACAGAGAGAGAGAGACAGAGAGAGAGAGACAGAGAGAGAGAGAGAGACAGAGAGAGAGAGACAGAGAGAGAGAGAGAGAGAGACAGAGAGGGAGAGAGAGAGAGACAGAGAGAGAGAGACAGAGACAGAGAGAGAGACAGAGACAGAGACAGAGAGAGAGAGAGACAGAGAGAGAGAGACAGAGAGAGAGAGAGACAGACAGAGAGAGAGAGACAGAGACAGAGAGAGAGAGAGAGACAGAGAGAGAGAGAGAGAGACAGAGAGAGAGAGACAGAGAGAGCTGTTGAAATATTTGTCATGTAGGACTTCTATTTGTGTTGCCGTGGTAACAAACGTGGTATCCATATCGTCTGATTTTGACTGAAATCACATCGAAGTTTAAAGTTCCTAACGTCCCTTAGTTTAAACACTCCCTCAAAGCTTTGCTGCTCGTGCTATTATCCCCCCTCCTCCACCTTTTCAAACAGTCTCCTCCTCCACCTTTTCAAACAGTCCCCTCCTCCACCTTTTCAAACAGTCCCCTCCTCCACCTTTTCTAACAGTCCTCTCCTCCATCTTTTCAAACAGTCCCCTCCTCCACCTTTTCTAACAGTCCCCTCCTCCACCTTTTCAAACAGTCCCCTCCTCCACCTTTTCTAACAGTCCTCTCCTCCACCTTTTCAAACAGTCCCCTCCTCCATCTTTTCAAACAGCCCCCTCCTCCACCTTTTCTAACAGTCCCCTCCTCCACCTTTTCAAACAGTCCCCTCCTCCACCTTTTCAAACAGCCCCCTCCTCCACCTTTTCAAACAGTCCTCCTCCTCCACCTTTTCAAACAGTCCCCTCCTCCACCTTTTCAAACAGTCCCCCTCCACCTTTTCAAACAGTCCCCTCCTCCACCTTTTCAAACAGTCCTCCTCCACCTTTTCAAACAGTCCCCCTCCTCTACCTTTTCAAACAGTCCTTCTCCACCTTTTCAAACAGTCCTCCTCCACCTTTTCAAACAGTCCCCTCCTCACCTTTTCAAACAGTCCCCTGTGGTCTAAATGAAACATCTGTTCTGTGCTTTGGTCAAAATATAACATGAATCAAGCACCAGAGGAGGTTTGTGACCCTGTATAAACCAGCTCTCTCAGAACGCTCCGTTTTGGTGTGTGTGTCTCTTTAAATGTAATGACCCCGCCCCCTGAGTTTTCCCCATAGACATCACTCCTCTGTAGAGAGAATAAAAATGGCTGACCTGCTCAAAGGTTTTGTTCCAGGCTGGGGGTGGAGTCCATGGGTGGAGATACCAGGGGAGGAGAATCCCACTGTGACATCACAAGGAGAGTACATTAGAAACAGAGCTTCTCTGTGTTGTAAGACTTATGCAGACCACAAACAAAGGACTGGATGGGTTTATTTCACATGTTGTGGGTCAGTAGACTCTCAGGTTACCAGATATATGTTCAGAAACACTGAAGAAGTAGATTTTTCATAATATGTCCCCTTTAATGGATCACCCTTTCACAATAAAAGACTTGTGTTTTTTTATTAATCAGTAACAGATCTTTAGGGTCAGTTATTATCTTCCTGTGAGACGCTGCAGAGATCCTGTGTTGACTCAGAGAGCGTCACACCTTCGAATAACAAATCCATCACTGATCAGACAAACTTCTGAACTCTGTCTTAAAGCACAAAGACTTTTCTAACGTGTCTGAAAGTTGCTGTTGAAGGAGTTTGTCTGCAGTTATTGATGATTGGAAACACAAAACCATCAAACCTGTTGGGTGTTCTAGCCCTCTGATCTCTGGTCCTTTTTAAACCCAGAGAGAACGAGCACTGTTGAAGTTGCAGGAATACGTTGGCAACTTTTGGAGAAGTGGGCGGAGCTCGAGAGGAGGGTGACGGAGGCCCTTCATCATCGTCTTTTTAAACGCTCTTAAAGGCACAGGCTCCCGAGGGGTCGCCATCACTCTGCGTGTAGAGAAACACGTTTTGATATTAACGTGAGACGGGCCTCGCTCCTCTCTAGCTCCGCCCACTTCTACCAAATGTTGCTAACCTTTTTCTGCAACTCAGGCCGAGTCTGGACGTAGGCGAGTATTTGTTAAAGCAGAGCACGCACACGCTCCGTTCTAAAAAACTTCTCCGCCCACACGTTACGGCTGTCATGAGCACGCCAAGTCAACAACGATGTCCTCGACACGCGGACATTTTCTCGCCACTCCTCTGCAGTGACCATTTCATTTTCAAAGATGTCGCACAAACCTGAAGTCCGACCGGGCCGCGACCAGAACTGCAGACGTTGGGGGCGGGCTTTGTGTGGTGGGAGTGTTGTATGAAGCAGACCTCCGTCGTCCAATCAGGCGCCTCTGCTCGTCATCATAGTGGGAGAGTATCTGTGTGTGTGTGTGAGCTTGTATAAAGTCTAGTTAGCATTGTTAGCACCAGCGCTAGTTTGGTTACGTCTGCCATCGCACTAATCTCATGTAAGCTCTGTGATTGGCTGGTGAACAGTCCAGGGTGTAACCCCGCCTCTCACCCAATCACAGCTGGGACAGCCAAACCTGGAAAAGCAGTATACTGTAGACATTGGACGTATGAATGAAAGACGTGTTGGACTTGTATTTGTGTTGCCATGGCAACAAACATGTCGTGATATCATCTTATTTTTGTCTTTTATCACATCAAAGTTAAACGTTCTGGTATCATGACGTCTCGGAGAACGCACGCCGTGCTTCACTTGAACAGTTCAGATGAATGATACAGATCAGAACTGATGAGATCTTTGGTCCCTGTAAATTCCTTCAGAGTGAGACATCTCGTCCGGTCTCTCCCGTCTGTGCTTGTCTCATTGTCTTGTCGTTGCCGTTTCGAGTTTCCTTCCAGCTCAGATTGTAGAGATTCCTGAGATTCCAGCTGTGGGGAGTTTCTGCTGCTAAAGCCTCACAGCTGGAAACGAACTGCTTCACTTCACACCCTGACAGAAAAAACACGTCTCTGCACCTTTAACTCCGGACACACCTCAGAACATTTAACAGTAAAAGTACTCAAAGCTATATTTTCAAACCTGGGTCCTACTTTAACATATTTACAGTCTAAATGAAAGACGAGAGATCTTTATTAACCACAAACAGATGTCTGAATATTTACACAAAGAAGAACTCTACAATGTTTAGAATTTAGACTGCAGTACTCATTTTAAACACTAGAGGGCAGAGTTACATACTGCTCCTTTAAGAACATAATAAAGGATGTATTGGAATATAAATGTCTCATGTTATAATAAATATATCGCTCTAAAATCAAACTGGATTAAATGACTTTGCTCTGGAGGTAATGTGTCTGATGTTTATTCATTATGAATTATTAATGGTTGATTGTTGATGCTTACGCCTCCTTGTGGTCACTTCATGTCTCAGTTCTCAGATCTAGAGCTGGCCATCAACACGTTGGTCACAGAGTTTCATAAAGCCGCCGACGACGGGCCGACCATGAACACCACACAGTTTCAGACCATGCTCTCCAATCAGATGCCTGCGTTCGCCAAGGTATGCACCGTGACATCACAGCTCCCCATCCAATCACAGCACAGTTATCTCTGGGGCTTGTTCCCTGCATCCCAAACAAAAATATAGTGTGTGTGTGTGTGTGTGTGTGTGTGTGTGTGTGTGTGTGTGTGTGTGTGTCTCTCTGTGTGTGTCTATGTGTGTGTGTGTGTGTGTCTGTGTGTCTCTGTGTGTGTGTATGTGTGTGTGTGTGTGTCTCTGTGTGTGTCTCTGTGTGTCTGTGTGTCTCTGTGTGTGTGTATGTGTGTGTGTGTGTGTGTGTGTCTCTGTGTGTGTGTCTCTGTGTGTGTGTCTGTGTGTGTGTGTGTGTGTGTGTGTGTGTGTGTGTGTGTGTGTCTCTGTGTGTGTCTCTGTGTGTGTCTCTGTGTGTGTGTGTGTGTGTGTGTGTGTGTGTGTGTGTGTGTGTGTGTGTGTGTGTGTGTGTGTCTCTGTGTGTGTCTCTGTGTGTGTCTCTGTGTGTGTGTGTGTGTGTGTGTGTGTGTGTGTGTGTGTGTGTGTCTGTGTGTCTCTGTGTGTGTGTGTGTGTGTGTGTGTGTGTGTGTCTCTGTGTGTGTCTCTGTGTGTGTGTCTCGTCTCTGCAGACGGTGGAGGGCGAGGATGCTCTGGCTCAGGTTCTGCAGCAGATGGGCGTCGAGAACGGTCAGGACATCTCCTTCGAGAACGTCTGGACTCTGATCAACAAACAGGCTGTCCAGCTGTTCAGCTCCACGCCCAAAGACAAGAGCATCAAGTGTGGCTGTCTGCTGCAGTGACCTCACCTGGAGACACCTGAGGACACCTGAGGACACCTGGGAACACCTGAAGACACTCGATGACACTCGATGACACCCGACAACACCTGGAGACACCTGAAGATATCTGACAACACCTGACAATACCTGGAGACACCTGACAACACCTGACAATACCTGGAGACACCTGGAGACACCTGACAATACCTGGAGACACCTGACAACACCTGAAGACACCTGACAACACCTGACAACACCTGAAGACACCTGACAACACCTGACAATACCTGACAATACCTGGAGACACCTGACAACACCTGACAACACCTGAAGACACCTGACAACACCTGACAACACCTGAAGACACCTGACAACACCTGACAACACCTGACAATACCTGGAGACACCTGACAACACCTGAAGACACCTGACAACACCTGACAACACCTGACAATACCTGAAGACACCTGACAACACCTGACAACACCTGACAATACCTGATGACACCTGACAACACCTGAAGACACCTGGAGACACCTGGAGACACCTGACAATACCTGAGACACCTGACAACATTTGGAGACACCTGACAACACCTGACAATACCTGGAGACACCTGACAAAATCTGACAACACCTGACAACACCTGGAGACACCTGGAGACACCTGACCACACCTGGAGACACCTGGAGACACCTGACCACACCTGACAACACCTGACCACACCTGTGAACATCAACGTCAGGTTTAGACTCATGATTTAACTGATTAAAAAATCTTTGTGATAAACGACTGCATGCTTTTATACGAGTTCAACGTGAAACTTTTTTACTCCCTCATGTAACCATGACAACAGATATCTTTGTTTATTGTTTACATTTGATCAGCTGATTAATCCAACTGTTTTGATACTAACGTCTGATTTTATTATTATTATTATTAATGTGTTTCTGATGAGTCGCATTAACACGTTCATGTCGTCTTTGTGAATAAAAAACAAACTCGGCGACAGGACGTCTCCTCGACTCGTTCTTCACTTCCTGCGTTCGCTCGTCCTGCTGCTCGTAGTCCGCTCCTCCATGAGATCCACCATATGACTGAAGTGTAATCAGAAACCCTGCTGGGGAGGGGAGTCGCCCCCTGCTGGACATCAGAAAGAATGCAGGTTTAAGACCCCTCTCTTTTGGCTTCACCTTTCACACCTAGAGGAAACGTCCACTTCTTCTATCCAGTCAGTGACCGCGCCCTAAAGCTCAGCTCACGTGTTCATGAGAATAAAATCAACGTGTCAGAGGCTTAGAGTGATTACAGCATTTTATTGTTTTTGTACTTCACATTTTTCCAGAACAAACTGTTGTGAATCAGCAGAGTTCAAAGGTCAAAGAAGAAGCCGCCACATTGTTGTGTCCGACTGTTGATGATTAAATAAATAGACAAACAGAGAAGAAGAAACACCTGTCTTCAATCAAATTAAGGATTTGATAAATATATAATTTAATAAATTAAAATCCATCCTGATGGTTGCAGATCCATTAAAAGAAAACAATCAGAAAACATGAAATCGGTTTCTTCAAAGTTCGCTGTGACAGACTGCAGTGTCATCTGGGCCACCAGGGGGCGCGCTCTGCTCCTCTCTGTGGAAAACCTTCCCATCAGGCTGCGTCCTCCACCGCAGCTTCACCTCCTCCCTGACTCCTCCCTCCTTCAGCTTCTGCTTCAGCTGAAACACAGAGCACACCTGACATCATCACCAGGAAACAACCAATCACTGTGGTCGATTTGTTTTTATCATCACCAGGAAAACAATTCAATTAAAAAAACTTGATTTGTCCCTGGTGGTCAACACAAAGGCACAAAGAGCAGTACATTTGAACCAAAAATATAAACAACCAATCACTGTGGTCGATTAAAATCATCTTAATCGTGATGATTGTACTGGACAGAATAAAGTCAGATCTGCAGTGAGTCTCGCTGCAGTTCCTCTAACGTCCACTAGATGCTGCTGTGACCAAACTTTAAGAACATGAAGAAGAGGAGTCTGGGATTAGAAATATTTCTTATTAAACTAAAAATATATGAATTTAAAATGTTTGTAATCGCATCTCAGATAATTCAAGATCTTACACAATATCACTCCCCACTATATCCCCAGTATACACACTATATCCCCAGTATACACACTATATCCCCAGTATACACACTATATCCCCAGTATTCTCACTGTACTCCCAGTATTTCAGTATCCCCAGTAGTTCTTCCAGTATTCCCACTATATCCCCAGTATCCCCAGTATTCTCACTATATCCCTAATATAAGGGGTTCAGTGCCTTGCTCAAGGGCACCTCGGCAGTACTCAGGATGTGCCCTTGCACCTCTCCAGCTACCAGGCAGACTTCCATACTTCGGTCTGTGCCGGGACTTGAACCAGTGACCCTCCGGTTCCAAACCCAAGTCCCTACGGACTGAGGTACTGCTGCCCCCAATAATATTCCCAGTATACATACTATATTCCCAGTATGCCCAGTGACCCTCCTTCTATATGAGGTGACCTGTCGGCTTGCTGACCTGCTGCAGGATGGCGAGCTGGATCTCGGGGTTGTTCAGGTCGGCAGCTTCTGCGCTCAGGCGAAACTTCAGAGAGGTCACGATAGAATGTGTGACGGCTGAGGAGAGAAGAGGAGAGGAGAGGAGAGGAAAGGAGAGGGGAGGAGAGGAGAGGAGAGGAGAGGAGAGGTTTGGTTTTCAAAATACCTTTTATTTTACCACTACCAGGAGAAAATTATAACACTGTCACATCATCACTCAGATCAAGAGAAGAAAATAAATAAATAAATAAAAAATAAAACAAAACAAGTGCAACAAAAATCACAACATCAACAAAAACAACATTTACTGCATCAAAAATGAATAATCAGCTCTCCATCCCCACCCACAGAGCACAAAGCTTCTTCCACAGCCCATACACTATTAAAGTCTTGCACATTGTCCATCATTTGATAATAGGCAAATTCTACCTTTAGCCCTTTGAATGTCCTCCACCAGCCCTCTTGGAGGTGTCAAAGCCACAAGTCTGTGTCAGAGAGTCGAGGCAACCAAGTTATTGACCACCAGAACTCTTCCCCTATACGACAACTGGGGTAGCAACCATTTCCATGTAGACAACCGAGCGCACACTTTCTCCCTAACTCCCTCCCAGTTTTTACTTTTAAAGCCCTCGGTACCCAAATAAACCCCCAACACCTTCAACCCCTCCCTCCCCCACTCAAGTCCACCAGGCAGACTGGGCACTGCCTGGTCCCTCCACTCTCCCACCAATAAGGCACCACTTTTTTCCCAGTTCACCCGTGCAGCTGTTGCCCTCTCATACAGGGACAGGGTGTCCCGCAGACAACGAACGTCCCCCTGATTGGAGATGAAGATGTTTACATCATCAGCATAGGCAGAAACTGTAGGGGGACATTCAATGCCACAGGCCGCGGGCAAAGAAAGCCCGCTGAGCCGGTCCCTCAACCTGCACAGCAAGGGCTCAATAGCCAAGCTATACAGCTGGCTGGAGATGGGACAACCTTGTCTGATCCCTCGCCGTACAGGGATTGGCCGACTCAACCCCGCCCCCATCTTCACCAAACACTGTGCATCCTGATACAGCAACCCAACTAATGACACAAAACCATCCCCAAAACCAAAAGACCTCAGTGCAGAAAACAAATACGAGTGATCCACCCTGTCAAACGCCTTCTCTTGATCCAGAGACACAATGCCAACATTTAGATTATAGATTTTACACACATCAGTGACATCTCTGATAAGAAAAACATTATCCATGATTGTCCGGTCTGGAACACAGTAACTCTGGTCTTTATGGACCACACTTCCCAGAACGTCCTTTAGTCTGTTCGATAAAGCTCTGGAGAAGATCTTGTAGTCCGCACAAAGCAAAGCAACCGGCCTCCAGTTTTTTAACAATGCCAGGTCACCTTTCTTGGGGAGCAAGGAAAGAACTGCTTTCTTACAAGAACCAGGAAGAGACCCGGTCCTGCAACACTCCATTAAAACACTATGCAGGTCAGACCCAAGAATATTCCAATAAAAAGTCTGTGGACAACCCATCTATTCCAGGTGCTCTTCCTGTTGCCATCTGAGTGACAGCAGCAGTGAGCTCCTCCAGAGACAGCTCCCCTTCCAGAAGAGACCTCTCCTCCACACTGAGCTGAGGGAGACCCTCCAGGAGCTCCCTGCGACACTCCTGGCTGCAACTCTCTGCTCCAAACAGATCCTCATAGAACTGCATGGCATGACTGCTCATTTCCTTTGGATCAGCTGTTATTCGACCTCCTGGCAGTTTCAGACAAGTCAGCAGCTTTTTTTGAGCCACAGATCTCTCAAGATTGAAAAAGAAAGACGTTGGGGCATCCATGTCTTTGAGTTGAAGGAAACGACTCCGCACAAGAGCTCCCTTCACCCTCTCCTGCAGGAAAGAGCTCAACTCCATACGTTTCTCCTTCAGCAGGGTACCAGTGGTGGGATCCACACTCCCATTTAACCCCTCCTCAAGGTTCTTAATGTTGTCCTCAAGATTTTTAATGACTGTTTTTAATCTAGCAGAAGAGTGTGACGTGTACTGCTGACAAAAAACACGAATCTGAGCTTTACCAACCTCCCACCAAAGCTTCAAAGAATCAAACTCAACTTTTCTTAATTGCCACTGATCCCAAAAACACCCAAAGTTTTTACAGAAAACATTGTCCAGTAGAAGCTTGTTATTAAAATGCCAGAAGGACTTAGCCCTTTCACCTGGTGAAATAATCAGCTCCACACTAACAAAATGGTGATCAGTGAAGCCGACAGGCAGAATATTACAATGAATTAATCTGGGGTTGAGAGTTCTGGAGATGTAAACCCTGTCCAGTCTAGCTGCACACACCCTGTTACTGTTAACCCTGACCCATGTATACTGTCTGGATTGTGGATGTTTCACTCTAAATGTGTCCAACAAATCCAGGTGAGAGATGACAGTTTTTTAAAGTCTGGGATGAATGTGGATGTGGCTCCTCTCCTATTCTATCCACGGTGAAATCAAGTGTGCAGTTAAAATCACCACCAAGAATGATCTGATCCTGATTATAGATCACTAACTCCTTTTGGAGGCGGGTATAGAAAGCTACCCTTTCAGCTCCATTATTTGGAGCATAAATATTAGTGAAGCAGAAAACAGTGTCCTCTATTTCTGCTCTTACAATTAAAAGCCTTCCCTTTACAATTTCCGCACAAG